GCCCCCTAAGAAATTCCTGACTTTGCAAGTTCTATCGCAGAATCCGACAGATCTCAGCGAGCGCAGTCGGATGCGGCAATCAGAAAAAAAATGGGCATTTTTTGGGGGCATCCGGTTTTGCCGGTTCACCCCCCCTGGACCGGTCCGGCCCCGGTTGGACCGGGGCAGGTGATCCGTCCGGTTGCTGGCCCAGCCCTGGTCCTTTGCCCATTTACGTCCCGACGACAACCTGGACGTTCCGCTTGCGATGTCCTCTGCAGGTTTACTTCCCGACTGTGACCTGGGCGTTCCACGTGCGATGTCCTCTGCCCGTTTACTTTCCGGCCGCAACCTGGACGTTGCACGTGCAATGTCCGATGTCCTCGGCCCGTTTACTTCCCGACCGCAAGCGTGGCGACCTGGTCAAATATACTTCTTGGCGCCGAGGCTGCTGCGTCAACGACTGCTTCTGCCGGAGGAAGTCGAACCTCGAGGCCATTTACTTTCCAGCCACAAGCGCAGCAACCCGGTCTCCTGCCGGCGGAGGTCAAATGTCAAGCCCATTTACTTTCCGGCGGCAAGCGCAGCAACCTGGTCTCCTGCCGGCGGAAGTCGAACCTCGAGCCCGTTTACTTTCCGACGGCACCGGTCAAATATACTTCTCGGGGCCGAGGCTGCTGCGTGAACGACTGCTCCTGGCGGCGGAAGTTGAACCTCGAGCCCATTTACATTCCGGCCGCAAGCGCAGCAACCAAGTCTCCTGCCGGCCGAAGTCGAACCTCAAGCCCATTTACTTTCCCACCGCAAGTGCAGCGAGCCGGTCAAATATGCTGCAACCTGGACGTTCGACTTGCAATGTCCTCTGCCGGGACTGTCACCCAGCGGGCGTTCCACGTGCGATGTCCTCTGCCTGTTTACTTTCCGACTGCAAGCGCAGCGACCCGGTCAAATATACTTCTCGGCGCTGAAGCTGCTGCGTCAACGACTGCTGCTGCTGGCGCAAGTGGAACCTCCGCAGCGTTATTCGCCGCATGAACCTCTTGGCAATGCCTCACCTGTTTTTCGTGAGAAGCACACGTTCGAAAAAAAGAACGTTAGTTGAATGAGCCGCCAGCGCAAGATATCACAGTTACAGTTTTTCTGGTATTTGATTTCTTTTTTGATTTGTCAGAAAAGAAATACAGTTTGTAACGACAGCTGCTGCTACCGTTGCCAGTGGAATGTCTGCAGCTTTATGATTATCTCAATTGCCTAGGGCAACAGCTTTCTCATTGATTATCTATAAAAAAAAAAATAGAGGAGCCAGTGCGGCTTCACCCGCATGACGAAGAAGGTCGGCAACACAGAATCGCAGTGCAACACAGGTGAACAGGGAACCTTTAATTTTTTTTTAAGAATCAGACATACAGACCAAACAACAACAACATACGAGCTAAACACTATGCTACAGTGTAATCCCCAACCAGTTGTGTCGCCCCTCGCTGTCATGGTCCCCCGTTTCTCCTCCTCGAATGGTTCCCATACCTGAGCAACCCGGGACGTGATCATCTCCATACTTCCAAAAGCAAAACTTACTCATTTCTGAATCTTGGTATAGTTCTTTTCCCCCCTTCTTCATCTTTTAAAATCCCATAACTGTTCCATCACTCTCTACCCCCCGTTTCTCCTCCTCAAATGGTGTGTGTAGCACATCCCTGTTCCGGTTCCCGCTGATGAGTTACACATCTCCCAAAATTCAAATGAATCTGGCAAATAACAACACAAAATCTACATAACATAATACCTAGCAATTAAACCAAGCTGCGCCAGTGCCGCTTCAAACTCGGACTCGGATCCGTGACTCATCACTCGCCAAGATGCGCCCGTGCCGCTTCAAACTCCATCCGTGACTCATCACTCGCTATCACACCACGCAATTCTGATTCCGTTCATCGTCAAACAATCACAGTCACCGCACTAAACTTTAAGTTACACTGTAACCCAGGTCAAACTCAAGGACGTCTGTACCCCAATCCCGTCCTCTCTCTCTCTCTATCACACACACACACACACACACACACACACACACACACACACACACACACACACACACACACACACGCGCGCGCACACACACACACGCGCGCATGTGTAGTAGTGTATATTTC